CCAGTAGCTCTTCATCTTTCTTGAACTGGGGAGCCCAGAACTGGACAGAGTACTCTAGATGAGGCCTCACCAGGGCAGTGTAGAGGGGAAGGAGAACCTCCCTTGTCCTGCTGGCCACACTCTTCTTGATGCACCCCAGGATCCCATTGGCTTTCTTGGCAGCCAGGGCACACTGCTGGCTCATGGTTAACCTATCTGTGACACATCATATGTATAAATCTCAGGGAATCAGAAATTGCTATGACGGAACTGTGGAAGACTGATTAATCAGGCCAGTTTTAAACTTAAAAAAAAAAAAACAACTTTACTGCATAGAAATTCATTAACAATATACATTGTTAATGGTTAATTCTTAATAATTGTTAATCACTATTACTACATATTAAAAACAGTTAGCCCTTAACAGTCATCCTAAATTAGCAACTAATATACAATACCATAGAGCTGATGCCATGTAATTAGCACCAATGGTTACAGTCCTTGAGAGTCTCAGTCATCAGGTGATGAAGTTCAAGAGCTCTTCAATGAAGGAAGCTGACATCAAAAAGGCTATCCTTCCCTCCTCCAAGCCCAAATTCAAGATTTTCACTTTTATAAAATATTGCAGTCTTTAGCAAGTTCTTAGCCCTTGACCTCTGGCCCCTAGGACTTTGGGAGTCTTGCAGATACCACTTTCAAAGGTTGCATCAGGTGCCTTGCCTTGCCCATCAGTTGTGGGTTTTTTCTTATCTGCTGTTTCTTTTCTGTGTTATACTTAAAGCAGTCTTTCCAGTTCTTAAGGCTGCACTTCTTCAATGATCATCAGTGAGATACTTGCCGTTCTAGGACCTTCGTTTTCAGCCTATGCCCATATTTTCAAGACCTTTTCTGTCATCCCAGGCTAAAACTCCACATTGCAACAGGAGACATCTCACATCAGGCTCCAGCTGACCTACCAGTTCTCATAACAAGCTGGCAACAAGCTTAATAGGCCGGGACTGACTATGCCTTACATGGGCACAGTGAGGATAAGGCTTGAGATTTGTTTCTGGAAATAGCAAAACTATTCTTACTGAGCATAAAAATGTTTGCAATTTGTTCACCATACACACATAATTAATGTGATTTTGACAGAGTTCAAAGCAAGCTAATATTAATTACATTTGGCTTAACATGCTTCTACTTTTATGAGTGCAATAATCCTCTTCTTTGGCCACATATTAGAGTGCTTTGAATAACGAAAACTAGTAGTGAGAAGCTGGTACATATTTACTTAGTATTTCTTGGTTTTGTAGGACTTATGAAAGGCAGGAGGAAAACCAAAAGTATCAAGACTGACTATTGAAATAATTAAAGTGACAAAAATAGCAGTATTAAAATAATAACAGTGACAAATCAGAGATAAGTACTGCCTTTAATTTACATGTTGCACGACCCACTTTGAACATTGACCAGAGAATAGTAAGTGCCTTTTTCAGCCAGGAGCTGCTGATGAGTCCCTTGCTCTATGATCTTGCCATTCTGGACCACAGCAATCTTGTCAGCATTTTGGATGGTGGAGAGGCGGTGAGCTATCACGATGCAGGTGCGACCTTCTCTGGCTTTATCCAGTGCTTCCTGGACAATCTGAACAATGAACAAACCAAAAGGTGAACTATTCTGGCAGCTGTCATGAGATATACCTCAGCTGGCATCTGTGAAGTAAGCTGTAATATGACAGTGAGGGAAAGGGAGCATCTGTGGCTTTAGCTTCCTGTTTTAGAATTTGCCTGTGTTGGCAAGGATCAAAACTGTCATAGCGGATGATGCCATGACAGCTGAGAGGATGAGATAGAATCAGGCTCATTACTGAGATGCATGGTAGGAGAACAAGAGAAAATAGTCATAAATTGTAAGAGAGGAGGTTCTGACTGGATATAAGAAAAATAAAGGATAATTAAGCACTGGAACATGGATAAAAGAGAGCTTGTTGAATCTCCTTGGAGATTTTCAAGGACCCTACTGGACACAGCACTAAGCAACATAGTTTGAATTCAGTATTAGCCCTTGTTTGAAGAGGAAGTTTGATTCGAGACCTTCAGAGGTCCCTTCCATGACTGATTAATTATACACGTGAGTTAAACCAGTAATCTTGGGTCAACTACTATCAAACTAGTTCTCATTATTTCACAGGGAGTCTCGTGAATCATGTTTTTCTTAAAGCTAGCACTGGCAGCAAAACACTAAGAATCTCTGCTTTGTTTTCTTTATTCCGTATGCTTATTAGTTCAGAATAAAAGAAGCGATGAAATTTCTGTACCTAACTGGCATATAATTAATAAAACAAAGAATCATGGAATTATTTAATGGCATTTTAGCCTCAAACCATATGTTTTTATGCCTAGAACTGATCAAAACTTATTCCATAGGGTTTGAGCTTTTCAGATTACGATATTTATAATATTTTCCTCATTAATAGTAAGTACTTGTGTAGAATCTGTGTTGATTTTCTACAGCTAGATTGTACTTCTGTTATACCAAGACTGCAGCTTTGGGCTTAAAAAAAGAAATATGTGTTCCAGCAAATTTTTCACTGGAAGTTTGCATATTAACCATGAGCAATGGGTGAAGCAAGAAAAATTATGAAAGCAAGATTTGGCCATTTCCCGGAAAAAAAGTTCTCTGGCAGCATCCACAGTCTTTTGAGCTTCTGAAGTTTGTGCTTCCTGATTCAATTTTGATAGCACTTTCCCAGTTGAAGCCTGAAGAATTCCAGGCAAAGAAAGGCCTTCTTCAGTGCTACTTCAGTCTGCCTACTGCCATACAGGTGCAAAAAAAAAAAAAATAAAAAAAATAAATTTTTTTGGCAAGGAACAGTAAGGCCTTTCTCTTTGTCTATTATTAGCATAAATATGCAGTTTGTGTAAAATACAGTTTTGGGCTGTAATCTGTGGGAGTGAAAACAATAATCATAATACCAACAAACATGGATTTAGATTCCAGACTCCTGTCTCACAATCAATTACCTTTTCACTTTCTGTATCTAAGGCAGACGTAGCTTCATCCAGTAGCAGAACTTGTGGCTGACGTACAAGAGCTCGGGCAATAGCAATACGTTGTTTCTGACCACCAGAAAGCTGAGTTCCCTTGTCTCCTACACGGGTATTGTATTTCTAGAAACAAGTTCAGATTATGAATACAAATTGATTCTGAAGTATATTTAAGCATATCAACCCTGACACCAGCCATCGATTAAGCTGTATATTCCATGCCAATAGCTCTCTGAAAACAGGTGGCCAGAATTTCTATCTGCCACAAATCTATAGATCTTTCACAAGACTTCTTTGCAGCATCAAGCATTTCATAAATTCAAAGCAACAACCCTTCTAAGGTTGGAAGGCAACGTTATTCTCAGTATTCTCGTTATTCTCACCAAACCTCAGTGAAAGTCTGTGATAAAACTAGGGATTAAACCCTACCTTAAAGACTCCAAGCTAGCATCCTAACCAATCAGTTATTCTAACCCATATTTATTCATCCTGAAGAAAAAAATAGCAATGTATAAGATGCATCAGTTTCAGGCCAAATTATATACTATATCTCAGTAGACATAGATATTTATACACTTCATCTGTATCTATACCACAGTTTTAGACAGTTATGTTTTTAATTTAGTTATGTGAATTGAGGTGGACCAGTCATGTCACCAGACAAACTCATGTGTAAGTCACAGTAGTCTTTAAGGTATTATATATTTGGTTGCAAAAAGCACCAAAGTCTTATGAGAAATCACTATATATCACAAGATTTCTCTACAAAGCTTTGGAAAGAGCAGGTCTTGAAAAGCCATTAGAAACTAAACATGATCCTCAAAAGTCATGGGCTTTGGCCTATCTTGTATTTTTTCAAGAAATGTAAAAAGCAGCTTAACAGCCTGAAATTGAGCTGAATATATACAACATACAACTAAGCTGGCAATCTCCTTGCTTCAGCAAGTTTTCAATACAAGTTAACATAGGTTAGAAACTGATTTGTCAAATCCACAGAAGAAAAATCCACCCAGAACTATTAAATAACAAAACATAATTTCTGCCTTAGGAAGTTACAAATTATGCAACGTTAGACGAGAATTCAAGGGAAATGTGATTAAATGTTTCGCCTTTTTGAATACTTATTTGTAAATATGTCTTGCTGGTCACTGCCTAGGATGAGATTTTGTGCATGGCAGACCTTTCATCTGACCCAAGATGTTAATTCTCACATTAATATGTGTTGGTCCGTTATATATATATATATATTACTAAGTATTTATAAATATATAAATACTTAGTAATTTTTGAACTGTAGAAATACAAGAAATTTAAATTCTGACTAAGTATAACCTGAATAAATGCATAAGAAACTTGCCAGTCTAGCAGAGTTTTTACATATGCTTGAGATAAATAGGAGCTTACAAAGAAATGTTTAACTTACTTCAAAAACCCCACCCCACACTTCCAGTTCTTGATTAGATATAATTGCGGATTTTCTTCCCTGATACCTTAAATGTCCAGCTCTCCGCCTGACAATGGAGTCTTCCAGAGTAAAAATAAGTATGGTAAACACAATTATGAAAGGATAAAATCTAAAAATCAGTTTCAGATCTATTTGCATCTCAGGGAAGTGTTGCACCCCAGGGAATCATAAATGGACACCATTTTTCCCTGCCACATTAGGTCACCTCCAGATCCAAAAAGGAGATAAAATTAATAACTTACATCTGGCAGAGAGTCAATGAAGGAATGAATGTTGGCTTCTTTTGCTGCATTAACAATTTCCTCGTGTGACACCTGCCGACTGTTATCTCCATATGCGATGTTTTCAGCAATGGTGCAGTCAAATAGCATTGGTTCTTGCGAGACAATACCAATCTGAGCTCTCAGCCACTGGATATTTAGTCTCTTTGCATTTTTACCATCAAAAAGCTGAGAACCCAAACATTTAAAATTCAGTCACATGGCTATATGTGTATTTGAGACTTGCTGTAAATTCGTACACAGAATTTGTGCAATTGCAGCTCTTTCCTTAGAGATACCATACTGAAAGCCCACATAATCCCTTTCCCTCCCTCTCCTCTAGGTTCCAAAATTTTCTAAGGGCTATTATATAAAAGTAAGGATAGTCCCCTCTGCAGCTTCAGTCCTTTTCTTTGCTTCAAGATTTAATCAGGTTTTTGAAGACAGTGGAAGATAGGATATGCTGAGGCAACTCTAAAGAGTTTTGGGTAAAGTTCTTTCACTTCCTCCTGTGGTGGGAAAACTTTCCTTTGTGTTGCATATATATTCCCACTGAAGGAACATACTGGCAGCAGTATTCCATTAAAGGAAAGGAAGAGTTGGGTTCATTCATTCACACACTTCTATGCCAAGCATCCAACCTTAACTTTAATTGTGATGTAATGCCCGACAATGGACAAATTTACTTCTGGATTCCTTAAGACATCATTTGCTTTCTTTTCATTATTTTCTTTATTGGCAACTCTGTCACACTTGTACTAAATTTGGCTACTTTGTTGTTATCATTGTCTGTTAGATAAATGACAACAGAAATTTTTTTTCTGCATAGATCTGTGTCATAATTACACAAGTCATATAAACTTGGACACAAATGTATCGGGATATTAAGAGGGCTGTGACATCTTCACTAGTATCACCCAGTGCAGTGCTCAGGCTTTGTGTTGAGTGACATGATCAGCTGGGTAATTCTCCCTTCATAGCACGGCTACTGGACATGATTAATCTACTAATTCCACAGTTTGTTCTAGAACAGCCCATTCACAGACAATATAATTGTTTTTAAAAGGAAAGAGATCATAATGAGCCTGATTCAAAATCCACTGAAATCAGTGGCAGCATTTCTACATGTGGTGATGTTGGGGGGGAGGGAGGGAAAGCTAGAGAAAGGAGAAATTGCTTTCAACTACATAGGTATTTGCAATTTCTTTTCCTTAGAATTCCAAAGGATTTGCAGGCTGCTAAGGTCTGCTTCCTTATTTGATGTGATAAATCACTGACGAAACTACACAACTCAGTTGTTATGCCTTTTGGATCCACCATACCAAATAGCACAACTTTTAGGCATAGTTACTCTCTTTACCACACAAGCATAGTGCTAACTGTTCTGAACAGCTGTTCTTCTGACAGTGCTTTTAGGCACACACTCCTTTCACTCAGTTCACATCGCAAGCTTGTGAATTAGTCCACCATTTTCATGGTGTCTGTCATAGGTCCGTGCTTTTCCATTCAGTAAACCATTGTTGGTTATTTATGGATAGAAGGTCAAAAACATTGGTAATGGAGTTCCACTTGGTTACACATACTTTTGGGGCACCTATGCTGATTCTTTCTACACATCACTTTGCTACACTGAACCTGTACGGGCATTTCCAACCTCAAAAAAATCTTGCCCATTGCATCTAGGCCTTATTAAGTATTGCTTTATCTTTCATGAGTATCTCTGCAGAGACAGGTTCTGAAATCGTTCTTATTCCCACCTCATCCAACCCAAAACATGTGGATTCTTTTTCAAACAAAATCTCTGAGCACTTTTGCATCAAAGAGAAAATGGCAATAAACAATACCTCTGTATGAGAAAAAAACATGTAAAGTTGCTGAATAATTAGTGTGGGAAACTCTACCTGTATTTTAAACCAAAATTACTAAAAGTATTTATAATCTATCACTTGGTAAGTGGGCATACTCTGAAAGATGTTTCTGACAAGTAAAAATTATGATAAAAATTATTTTTGTCAATGTTCACTGTTTTAGGGAAGAACATAGATGGCAAATTCTGTTATTACATTATAAAGAAGTAGATACATACATTTAATAACTTTTAAAATGTTTTTAACATAAAAGCCTCAGGAGATTTGCTCTGAATTCAAAGCCATCATTAGGCTGTGGATCAGGCATACTTTTACCACAAAGATCTTGTTCCATTAGTTCATTATAATGTGGGAAACTGGGACCTTCTTCACAATATTATTTCATCACATTTAAACAAGGAACCCTAATGAGCCACTGCTTATCTTTAATATTAAAAATATTTGAAGAATAAAACTAGAAATATCTATTTTAATTTATCACATCACAGAAAACCAGATAAGCACATCCTCACTCAACAAGTTCATATGTTCTTACAAAAATACTTACCATTTCTCCATCAAGCGGATCATAAAATCTCTCAAGCAGCTGAACAACAGTGCTCTTTCCACAGCCACTGCTACCAACAAGAGCCAGAGTTTGTCCCTTTTCTACTTTTAGATTCAAACCTTCGAGAATTTTGACCTGTGGTCGGTTTGGGTAGTTAAATGCCACATCTTTGATGGTTATGTTTCCCCCAAATGTTTCCTACAATTGAAATAGTATCACTGTTACATCTTTAAGACAATTTGACAGGTGATTCAAAGAGAATTGCAGAAGTCTTTTTTCCCCCCACTGAACTCAATAGACTTCTGCGTTGGCTGGAATGCTGATTGTAACTCTGTGGTCTGATCTTTGTGAAGCTATAAAATCAAAGTACAGCACAGATGCTTGTAATTCTTCTGGTTGAATTCCACACAAGTTGTACCTTAACCAGATATTCAAAACAAATAACCATTAGACAGTGTGGGCAAAAGCTGGACTCACAACAGACAACTTTGTCCATGTTGTGTTTGGATAAGGTGTCAAGAACACATGGAGATAAGGAAGCAATCAGAACGAGAAAAAAAATCAGATTGAAGGAAGTGAGAAGAGTACTGTCCATATGGTCAATAAACAATCCTGCCAGTTACACATGGCTTACTTACAGGCTTCTCTCCTTCCTCACTGTAACTATCTATTGAGGGTACTCTTTCAAACAGCAGAAACAAGTGGGCTGCTGATATCTTGGCTTTGGCATAGTCTGGAGCAAAAGAGCTGGTTTGTCCTAATGCCATTGCACCAAATACAACAGCTGAAAACACTCTGTGAAGGAAATCAGGAAAAAAAGAAACCAATAAATACACAACGAAAAAAGGGACTATTGAAATGGGGTTGCAGTCAACTTTTTATTTTACTCAGAGCAAAAAAGGGACTAAATTTTAAAAGAATAGTGTAGTAACCAACTATTATTGTTTTAATTACTCATTTAGCTCCAGAACTTTGGTTTTATCCCCCTTCAATGAAGTGAGATAAACAAGAATCCATTCCAAACTCAATATTTTTGGTATTTATTAGCACTAATTTCTTTAATTATTAATACTGGTTAACTATATTCTCAACGGGGGCTAGGAGGAAAGTGGTCAACGGATGGTAAAATCGTTACTCTAATCCTGTTCCATCGTTACTGTGTTTTCCTCTCTATGGTTCAATGACCTCTGGGAGTTAATGATTCAGTTTTAAGGCATCAACGAAAATAAGAAATCAAGCCTGTAACCAGGTGACAATAAAGATTTAATTTGCTATCACAGCTTTGCTGGAAAAATCTGAACATAACACCAAAAAAAGTTTGAAAACTACACTATTATTGTTATATGGTGAACGCAGATGTATCTTTACAGGCTATATTAGAATGGTTTAAGAACTTGCTGTCCTCAGCTATTAATTACTGCCACACAATGCAGAATTACTCATCACTGAGAAATGGTAATTGACATATGACACCTCTTAGCCTGTTTTAAGGCAAAGGAAAATAAATTCATTTATAAGAATTTTTATCTTTTATCTTCAGAGATATATAAACTAATCTGTTTTATTCTGCACTTCAACAGCCTAGAAGGGCTCACATAGTTTTAGGTCAGACAATCCCTTCCAAATCTAACTGAACCATTGGAAGTTCACTTCCCCCAGCTGGCTAGAGATGTTCAGCTAGCGGATCAGATGCAGACACTTTCCATCATCTTCCAGTCAAAATGAGCTGTGTTAACTATCTTTACTCAGGTTGCCAACAAAAAATTGGTATGATTGGCCTTTGTTAGGTATTGAGGTCACCGATATCCATACTCGTAGGATCTCATTATTTTCATATTTGTTTCCATAGGCCTGTATTGAGCTATTGCCTCTTAAATTAGGAATCCTATTCCTTCTAAGTTTACATATGATCTGAAATAAAGTGACTTTGGTTATAATAGAGGCTTTTAGGTATTATGGTAAATGATTGGATAAACAGCGATTATAAATCCAAAATATAAAGGTAAGAAGCTAAGGATAAGCTATAATTTAAAAATCACTTCTTTAATTTTTGTACAGTTTCTGCCCCTAAAAGCCTATAAAGTGCCCCTAGAGACAAATAATTGTACTATTCCTTGTGTAATTTCAGATTGGGATGGATACACCTTCTAAGAATACTGCAAATTAGAATCATATTTTAGTTGCAATTCCTGTCTAAATTAAAATTAAAATGGTCCACCTGACTATGAGTATGTACAGTACTCTACATACTGTTGTTACATTCATCATTCGTACTTTCATTTCCCACAAAACATTGGCTCATTTAAGTGAAGAAGCTTCTTATCAGAATGTCATCTAAAATAATTTAGCTATCCTTCCGTTACAGTGAACAGCATCCACCTTATGGAATCCTGTCCTCCAATTATTTAACAGGTATTTAGAGCAGATTTCAAATTTCAGTGGATAAACCTGACATTCAAATAACAAAGATTATGATGACCTAGTCTTAAAAAGATTTTTGCAATATTGTTATGTTGCAATAAACAGATACAACTATGTATTTTGTAGAATATACAGGGGACCTCACAGCTACATGAACAATAAAATTTGTGAGAATAAACAAAGTGATGTAAGCAGGATACTGTTTCAATCTCTGGAAAACATAATAGTCCCAAATAAATACAGAAAAGGAGATCCAAAATCAGGCCTACTTGAACAGCTCAGACTCTGTAGTCACCCACAGTATCCACTTTGTAATATGCTTTCATTATATTTAAGTACAGAGGAATAATTATCCTGTTTTCTCATAGCTTACCCAATGAATTCATGATATCTCTAGCAGTAAACAAAGACCTTTTTCTCGACTGACAGAAAAAAGATTGCAAAAGAGATACTTACAAAAACACACTTTTATATTCCATGTGTCCATTTACAACTAGATAGGCACCAAACCGGAAACAGCCAGCATAGGTAAAGAACATCATTGCTTGTGAAAGGGCAAAACAAATTCCAAATATATGTGCCTTCTTCACAGAATTTCTGTAAGAAAGAATGCATCTTTTCATTAAAATGTGCAATCGCACATAAGTCCTAGTATGCAAAACTTAATTAATTGATTTCAGATTATATTGTTATGAATGGGAAGTGTGAGCAATCCCATTAATGTCAACTCCGAGAATAGTTAGGCACTGTCCTGCAAGTTGTGAGATATGGACTCAAAACTTGGCAGCCTGAGAAAAAAGCTGAAGTAATATCTTTTACATCCTGCACTGTGCTCTAACCACTCAATTATTATGCTGGATGTATTAGCAGCACCACTACTTGTCTCCCATCATATCTGTGTACATATGCTGTCATTTACTTTTCTCATGGATGTCTAAAAATAAATCATTTCGTTCTAGAATGAATAAAACTTTAATTGATGGTATCTTTTTCAGTGTTTAAACTAAGTTCAAGACTCTTTAATTTTTATTTAGTCCAGGCAGATTTATATTCCTTTTTTTCTTTCGGTGACAAACCAACAAGTAATCAAATGTTTTCAATCCTATTCATACTTTCAAAAATGGCTTAATGCAATAATCAATTTGCATTAAAAAAATTTTAATTAAATATCTGAAACACTTCAGGTGGGAGGTTAGATTAGACGACTTCTGAATCTCATTTAAAACTAACATTTTTTCCATACCAAGTGACATTGCCAATAGTAGACAATACCAATAGTACCACAGAAAATTAGTTAAATCAAAGAACAAAAGTTAAATCAAAGAACAAAAATGTTGGCTGTCAGCTGCATTTGTTAATAAAAAAAATATGAAAAATATTTACATTAATTCTGAGGTAATTCAGTTATACATTAAATCATATACACTAACAAAAAAAAGGTCATTGTTAGCCCAAGTAAATGTTTGTAATTTATTCTATAATTTAAATACTTTTTTTTTTAGCTTAGTTGTTTTTGTTATACCTGTATGGTCCATGCAAATGTTCTCCATACATCAACTCAAATTTTCTTTCTCGGGTCAAACTAACAACAGTTCTAATATTTTCTATGGCTTCTGTGGCAATCTGCAATAGAAACACAAATATTTTAATCAGAAGTTAAGATTTTGTTGCAATTCCTTATTCTAAACTAATAAAAAGAGTCTGCTGGAATACAATTTTGTATTTTTTTATAATTATTACTAAAATCATGGACCTTTGAGACCAAAAGTAAGCATTTTACATTTTTCTTTGTACGACAGTGAGATTTTCTGGTGATGCTCAGAATTTTCTGATAAGACCTCTTTAATGTCCTCCATATAAGTAGTGAAAAACCATTAGACAGCAGTAACAATTATGGAGAAGATATTCTATAAGAAAAATGGCAATTTAGCATTCAGTTTCCAGTCCACTGAGTTTGGGCTATAATCAGAATGTCCAGGTTACTTATGTGCTTAAAGACTAACTTAGATCTCTGCAGTAAATATTTGATCTGATCAATAATACCTTCTTTAAGCTTGCAGATTCTTTACACACACAAAGGTACCTAGTAACATCTGAAGGCAGTAGACGCACATCAACGTGGGAGCAACTGATTTCAAGGCTTTTATGTAATCTGTTAAGTCTATGTAGGTGTCCATAAAGTCTTCCTCAACGAGCACACAGTGAGGCTAGGAGCCTATATGGTCAATTCAGTCCATATGCATGTAGAAGAGGATGATATTTAGAAATGGCCAACAGAAAACACCTGGAACAGTCATATCTCTTTAGACACCAGAACTAGTGCTGCATCCCTCTGCTCACCTCTGGTTGAAACAGCGGGCTTGAGACCATGACCTACACATTGTCTCCAGTGCAGTATGTGGTATGTTGGGTATTCCAGTCGGCCTTAACCGCTGTTGCTCTGGGAGAGTAGGCATTCCCACAGGTACTGTACATACCTGACAATCCCATAGGCATGGATGTTTTCAATTTCTTAATGCATCTCAAATAGTGTTAAATACCTATATCTAGGCTCTTTTCAGTTGCCAATCAGCCTCATATCTAAGGGTGGGTATTTAGCACGAGACCTCACTTATGAGCATAGATACTGTACAAATGCACAGTAATAAGTCTGTTTATAAGTCAGAGAACTGTATGTACAAGAAAGTATACATTATCAAGAAATGAATACAGACAATGCCAACAGTAATGTAGCTAGACTTTTGTAGATCTTGTCTACAAAACATCCTCAAGGCTTTAAGATATTTTGCTGAAATACACATTTCATACTTTATGCTTTTCACTTCAGAAGGACTATAAAGTAAGGTTAAAGGAAAATATAACTGAAGGAACATATATCTAGACAAAAGACTCAATGAGTGAACTTTTCATCTTAGCAACCAGAACTGGCCATGGGGGCACAAGACTACAGGGCTATACGTAACTCAAGGTACAAACCTGAAGATAACTACTAGATGGCAACTGCCCAGGAAAAGGGGAGCAATCGGATATGTCTGCTTGCATATTCATGCAGATTTAGATAATAAAAGAAGGGCTTCACGTAGTGATGGTGTTTTTTCAGCACTGAATTCCTATTTATGCCTGGGTTTCCCCCACAGGTGTGGTGAGTCCCCTGATTCTTGGTATTTAAGTGTTTGAAGCTGGGAGAGGTTTTTTTCCCCATGAGACTGGCAATGTTTTTTAACATCCTAAAATTTACCACAATTCAATCTTAACATTATGTTAAAATTTCAATTTTAGAAAGCATAGAACAGATATGCATTTATTTTCCATAATATTGTTACTGCATTTGGTGTATCACGTGGCTCGTATTTTCCATAAAGCTCTTGGAGAACCAGTGCTTTGGAACACTGTGTTTCTCTGGACCCAGTGCCTTGAATTCTCTCTGTTTCCAGCTCATGCTTAGAAGCCAGCAAAGTCCCAGTTCTGCACAAAGTTTTCTGAACTGAGCACTTACACAAAAAGCAGGAGAGAAGCTTCAGGGAGAAGCACGAGCACTTTTAATAAGTTATTGTACTATGACAGGCCTGCCAGTGTCCCTTCAGTGCCTGGCAAAATTATGCAGAAGGTTATTCTGGGAGTTACTGAAAAACACTTGAGAGAGAACGCAGTCATTGGTCATAGCTAGCACAGGTTCACAAAGTCCTATTTAACTAATTTAATTTCCTTTTATGACAAGGTCACCCATCCAGTTGACCAAGGGAAGATGGTATATGTGGGGTTTTTTTATTTTAGCAAAGCTTTTGACACTATCTCTCACACTATCCTTCCAGACAAAATGTCCAGCATACAGCTAGACAAGTCAATAATACATTGGCTGAACAGTTGTCTGACGAGTTGGACTTAAAGAGTTGTAGTAAATGGAGTTACATCAGGCTGGCAGCCAGTCACTAGTGAGGTTCCACAGGGCTCAATTTTAGGGCCAGTGCCCTTTAATGTTGTTAGAAATGATCTGGATCTAAGAGTCGAATGTACACTAAGTAAGTTTGGTGATGATACTAAATTAGGAGGAGCTGTGGACTCCCTTGAGGGCAGAGAGGTATCATAGAGAGATCTGGATAGACTATAGAGCTGGGTAATTACCAGCCATACGAAATTTAACAAGAGCAAGTGCCGGATTCTGCACCTGGGACAGGGTAATCCTGTACATACAAATTAGGGGATGAGAGACTGGAGAGCAGCCCCACAGAAAGAGATCTGGAGGTCTGGGTTAATGACAAGTTGAATATGAGTCGACAGTGTGCCCTGGCAGCCAAAAGGGCCAGTTATGTCCTGGAGTGCATGAAACACAGCACAGCTAGGTGGTTCAGGGAGGTGATTGTCCCACTCCACACTGCGATGGTGTGGCCCCACCTTAAGTATTGAGTGCAATTTCAGGCCCCTCAACATAAGGACATCGAACTATTAGAGTGTGTCCAGAGGAGGGTGACCAGGACGGTGAAAGATCTTGAGGGCAGGACTTATGAAGAGCAGTTGAGGTCACTTGGTTTGTTCAGTTTAGAGCAGAGAAGGCTGAGGGGTGACCTCATCACAGTCTGCAACTTCCTCAAGGGGGAGCAGCAGAGGGGAGGTGCTGATCTCCTCTCTCTAGTGACCAGTGGTAGGACCCGAGGAAATGGTATGAAGCTGCCTCAGGGGAAGTTCAGACTGGACATTAGGAAAAAGTTCTTCACTGAGAGCGTAGTGGGTCACTGGAACAGGGTCCCCAGGGAAGTGGTTGCGGCACCAAGCCCGTCAGAGTTCAAGGAGCGTCTGGAGGACACTCTTAGTCATATGGTTTAGTTTTAGGTAGTCCTATGAGGAGCAGGGACTCAGACTTGATAATCCTTATGGGTCCCTTTCAATGCAAGATATTCTATGATTCTATGAACAGAATGAAAATCTATTCTGAAAAGTGATTCTGTATATTATGTCTTATAGGACACCAGAGTTATGGCAATTCATCACACAGTTCAAATGCCCACAGTTTAAAACAGAAAAAAAAAAAGCCCTCCATACTCCACTACTTTTATCTAAGTTAAACCACAAACCAGAAAACATTTTTCTTCATGAACTGTTACCAAAGATTTTTAAACTGTGGTACTGTTATATCTGTTCTAAAATATAGGGATATAATTATCTTATAGCCTCAGTAATGCTTGTGCCACTGTTTGAAAATTTACATATAATTGGCTAACTCATAGATTTGAATGTAGTACACAATGTTAATTATAACAAAGATATTGAATGTAATACACAATGTTAAAAGAGACAACAAAGAAATTAAATAGATTTTATTCTTCTTAGTTATATCGTCTCACCAATACTCGAAGGAGTAGTCTTTTTTTTCATTAGTAGAGTAAATTCAGCAACCCTTTGCAGAAAGCAAATTTTCCAGGTAGAACCCCATTTCCTCTGAGGAAAACTGATCTTTAAAAAATTGGTAATTGGATAAAATTCCTGTAGTGTAGTGCTTGCTTAGGTGGCCTTGAGAGTGGAAACATACATATTGCTAAGAAAAGCAAGTATTTTCTCAAGATTTACAAAAAAAATCATAACTTTTTGTAACCCCTGTGCTAATTCTTCACAACCTGTTGCATTAAGACAGTCTCTAGTGCCTATTCCAAGAATTGTCAACTTTTTTCTGACATATCTTGAAACAAAACAATATGAAATAAATGTTCAACCATTAGAAAGAAGAAGCAGAAGAAATGTAGCCAGTTGAAACGAAAGGAAATGCATCCTTTGGTTTGTACAAAAAAGCCCATGGAAAGATCCTTACATAGAATTTGTTGTGGACTTGGAGGGACAAAAAGGTTTTCCAGCAACTTTATCTACAGACATGATGGAAGGAAATAAAACTCATTTAGTAAACAGGAGTTACTGGGGGGTGGGGGTGTTCATATCCAGATTAAGACACCTGAATTTAGGGGTCTAAGATACCACTGTAGTCAGTGGATACCTATTCAACAGAACTAGAAAGCAATTCAGCTGCTTAGGCACTATGTGCCTACCTTGTCTCTTTCTCCAGGATCTTTGACTGGAGTCAGAAGGACTCCAATTCAGTTGCCCACATGCAGGTGGCTTGTGCCATTGGAGATGCTCTAGGATACTCAAAACATTTGGGTAAGGCACGGCAGATATGACACAGAACATAGAGTAGAGCCATGCCCTTCTGAAATGGCAGATGAAGGCCACCCAGACACTATGGCAACTCCAATAACTGTCAGGGGACATTAGACTGCTATCACATATGCAGACACATACATTTAAACACCAGTTCTGAAGATTAATACCATTCCTTATGTGCATGGCCTAAATGAATATCTTCTCAACAACTTTTAAAAACAGTAGGACATAGGAAGGGATGGATGGTGAAAGATCTTGAGGGCAGGACTTATGAAGAGCAGTTGAGGTCACTTGGTTTGTTCAGTTTAGAGCAGAGAAGGCTGAGGGGTGACCTCATCACAGTCTGCAACTTCCTCAAGGGGGAGCAGCAGAGGGGAGGTGCTGATCTCCTCTCTCTAGTGACCAGTGGTAGGACCCGAGGAAATGGTATGAAGCTGCCTCAGGGGAAGTTCAGACTGGACATTAGGAAAAAGTTCTTCACTGAGAGCGTAGTGGGTCACTGGAACAGGGTCCCCAGGGAAGTGGTTGCGGCACCAAGCCCGTCAGAGTTCAAGGAGCGTCTGGAGGACACTCTTAGTCATATGGTTTAGTTTTAGGTAGTCCTATGAGGAGCAGGGACTCAGACTTGATAATCCTTATGGGTCCCTTTCAATGCAAGATATTCTATGATTCTATGAACAGAATGAAAATCTATTCTGAAAAGTGATTCTGTATATTATGTCTTATAGGACACCAGAGTTATGGCAATTCATCACACAGTTCAAATGCCCACAGTTTAAAACAGAAAAAAAAAAAGCCCTCCATACTCCACTACTTTTATCTAAGTTAAACCACAAACCAGAAAACATTTTTCTTCATGAACTGTTACCAAAGATTTTTAAACTGTGGTACTGTTATATCTGTTCTAAAATATAGGGATATAATTATCTTATAGCCTCAGTAATGCTTGTGCCACTGTTTGAAAATTTACATATAATTGGCTAACTCATAGATTTGAATGTAGTACACAATGTTAATTATAACAAAGATATTGAATGTAATACACAATGTTAAAAGAGACAACAAAGAAATTAAATAGATTTTATTCTTCTTAGTTATATCGTCTCACCAATACTCGAAGGAGTAGTCTTTTTTTTCATTAGTAGAGTAAATTCAGCAACCCTTTGCAGAAAGCAAATTTTCCAGGTAGAACCCCATTTCCTCTGAGGAAAACTGATCTTTAAAAAATTGGTAATTGGATAAAATTCCTGTAGTGTAGTGCTTGCTTAGGTGGCCTTGAGAGTGGAAACATACATATTGCTAAGAAAAGCAAGTATTTTCTCAAGATTTACAAAAAAAATCATAACTTTTTGTAACCCCTGTGCTAATTCTTCACAACCTGTTGCATTAAGACAGTCTCTAGTGCCTATTCCAAGAATTGTCAACTTTTTTCTGACATATCTTGAAACAAAACAATATGAAATAAATGTTCAACCATTAGAAAGAAGAAGCAGAAGAAATGTAGCCAGTTGAAACGAAAGGAAATGCATCCTTTGGTTTGTACAAAAAAGCCCATGGAAAGATCCTTACATAGAATTTGTTGTGGACTTGGAGGGACAAAAAGGTTTTCCAGCAACTTTATCTACAGACATGATGGAAGGAAATAAAACTCATTTAGTAAACAGGAGTTACTGGGGGGTGGGGGTGTTCATATCCAGATTAAGACACCTGAATTTAGGGGTCTAAGATACCACTGTAGTCAGTGGATACCTATTCAACAGAACTAGAAAGCAATTCAGCTGCTTAGGCACTATGTGCCTACCTTGTCTCTTTCTCCAGGATCTTTGACTGGAGTCAGAAGGACTCCAATTCAGTTGCCCACATGCAGGTGGCTTGTGCCATTGGAGATGCTCTAGGATACTCAAAACATTTGGGTAAGGCACGGCAGATATGACACAGAACATAGAGTAGAGCCATGCCCTTCTGAAATGGCAGATGAAGGCCACCCAGACACTATGGCAACTCCAATAACTGTCAGGGGACATTAGACTGCTATCACATATGCAGACACATACATTTAAACACCAGTTCTGAAGATTAATACCATTCCTTATGTGCATGGCCTAAATGAATATCTTCTCAACAACTTTTAAAAACAGTAGGACATAGGAAGGGATTTTAGAAAAGTTTTACCTTGAAGAAAGCAATATCTGGGAAGTGATGAAATAGTTGTTCTGTCCCAAAGGGATTTTTGGAATGAAGTGACATTAAATGCCTTCATTTAATTTCTTAAACAAGAGTCTAGCCATCTTGCTTTTCAGTGCTCATCTTTCTCTTCCACTCAAGAAATAAATGAATAGCAAACAGACACAGAAACCAGTGGATATATACATACTATCCTGCAAACATCAATAAGATGAAAGAGAAAAAAAAGAGGGGTATAACATACGTAAGATAGATGACATGCCAAAAACAGATGACAGAAAAGAAAAAAGAGAATGTCAAAATGAAGAGGGTTGCAAAATAAGGAAAATAGATTATCAGAACAGGAAGAAGAAAAGAATGTAACTGAATAGTGCTTAGCACATTCTGAGGTCTATCAGTTATAAAAATAAATACCAGTTAACAACAAAAGTCTTCAATTATTATTGAAGAGGTGTTACGCTCTTTAGGTCTACTAGTGTAACTACATAGAGTCTGGCTGTCCCTGGAAGTCAAATATTACAATATGTTCTGTATTTGGAAGTAATACATCCATCAACAATGTTTTGGTAAACATGACTTTATACATTACACAGAAATGGATAAACTTCTCTGGACCCACCTTTCCTGCAGCTTCCAGCTCTTCTTTATCTTTTTTAGCATGCCCAGCCAACATCTTCATTTCAATCATTCCTGCCACTGCAATGATTGGCACAACAGCTAAGAGTAGCAGGGTCAACTGCCAGCCATAAACTAATGATATAATAATTCCAGTCCCCAGGTTAGCTACGTTTTGGGCAATTAATGCCAGTCTGACACCAGTTGCCTGGAGGAAAAAAAAAGACATTGCTTGCTAAAGTAACTGCATCTTAAATAAGGAAAACATTCTCACATATATTATTCCTGATTCTCTAAACACTATTTAGAAAGTCTTCACTCAGTTTTTCTAAATTTCAACATGGGAGTTTCTTAAATGACTTTGTAAAAAATTATCTAGAACACATTTAATTATTCTCTCCCCATATTCTGATCACTTAAATTTTCACCGCAATTTCTAAATTCTGCTCTTGAAGCTGAACAGACGTTGAGCGTATCGCATATTTACATTTACAGCTAAACATTAAAATCTGTCACATTTTGTAGATCGTGCAGCTAGTTTTGTAAGTCACCCCATGGAGCCCAATGAAAAAGAAAATTAAACATTTAACTTATAAAGCTAAAGATACTACAGAATTCCTCAGTTCAGAAAAAAAGCACATAACTTCAAGTAGCAGTAGAAATTTACTCAAGCATACATGAATAATTACTTTTGGTGCTCTTTAGCCTGATATTACAGACCCCTGAAAATCCACAAATTACTTCTGAAGAATCTCCAAAAAGTAACAAGGAAAAGGAAGTTTATTGCTACTACATCTGATGTTTTTCATATAAGGAATCCATACGATCAGAAAAGTAGTAGGAGGTCATAAACTGAACAAATTTAGTTGCATGTCTTTAGGTAAATAAAATACGTCTAAACAGACTTTTTAGATAATGAAATTCTTAATTAATTTGTTTAACAATGAAGATCACAATACAGCACAGTAGCAAACCTAAAAAAAGGTTTAAAAGTTTACTTGGAAATTATTTTGTAAGTGTATATTACCATCATTATTATAAAACACATCAGTGCATTCTACACTAGCTATCGTTTTATACTAAATTTTAGTCACCAAAGTGAAGACTGTTATCCAACCAGTCAAACCCAAGCTGCAACTTTACTACATATTAAACCAAATATGAAAAATTCCAAACCAAAATTTTACTTACTCCTTTTACTTGGGAGGCATCATTAGCAAGTCGTGTAGTTAATGCTCCAGTGCTATTTTTAGAATTGTCAAACCAGCCCATGTCCTACAATAAGAAACATTTTTCTTAGGACCAGATTTTGGACATTTCATATAAACCACAAAGTAGAACTGAGGTCTACCTAATGTAACTGAGTTCAGTGTTAGAAAACTGTGTATGTGGCAGTGCACCAGTTCTGCATATTTAATTAAGTCTAATACCTTCATTGTACAATGCATATTTTTAGACAGAAGTGTATGCTTGTCGATGATCTGATGTGTACACTGTCACTGCTAAGAAGGAAGGAGAGCAGCCTGGGGGATTCCCCAAACCAAGATACACCCTCCCCCACTGCTGCTGTATCTGCATCTCCTCGGAGGAGGTGACTCTTCAGTCACACTCCTTCGCAATTGCAAAGCTGTTTGGGGATGAATTAAGTGTAAAGGATTTTCAACATAAAAAATCCCGATTCATTGCTTTGTTTCCCCCCAGACTGAAGAGGCTTGTTTGGCCTGACACAAAAAAAACCCAAATCAAACTGGTCTATCTGGTCAGAGACAATTCTTGGGGTCAGGTACACAGTTTATACTTTATTCACCATGTGACCAAATATCTGATTTAAACTTTCATGTGTAAAATGCATTGAACAAAGACCTGGTGATGTAGTACAGGCATTTGTGACCTCAAGACTCCATTGTAAGATTGCTCTTCCATTAGGTTTTCAGTGAGGCTGATCTATAAAACATAGTTTTTCAGACCACAACAGCTTAGTGTCTGCATTGCAAATAGTCATGTTCACATGAATCAAATTCTGTGTCTACAAGTAGCTTTATGTGCAAGACATAAAACTTCAGAAATATTATATTGTATGTTTGAAAGTCTAAAATACTGATTCTGAAATCATGCAAGATTAAGGCCAGTTTAGATAACTCCGTGAATTACTGAAAAACACTACGAAATATTTATATTTTAATTCTCTGAAAGTGGCTTTAGATTGAAGTATACAATCTCATTATTGTATTAACTAACAACAAATATAGATTTGGGAACTCATTGAAAGAGACCTTCAATAAATAAATAAAATCATATCTGTACATATTACGATTTAAATCAGACATTTGAATCACAGAATCACAGAATAGTAGGGGTTGGAAGGGACCTCTGTGGGTCATCTAGTCCAACCCTCCTG